GCCTTTGGGCTTTTGGAGCCTTGACCTGACTTTTAAAAAATAATTGGAAAAAAAGCATTATGCTGCTAAAAGATGAAAAATAGATATTTGCAAAATTCTGCCTAAATATGTATTTTACCAGGTTAATGTGTGTGGTCGGGTGCGGTCTGCAGCGCCGCTGCAGGGGACGGGACGCACCTGAGCAGCACCCGCAATCACGCCTCGCCGCCTTAACGTCTGTGCTATCTATGCTGTTGTGTTGGTATGTCTCGGGCTGTGAGCTGAAAAGCTACAGCCGGCTGTATACATATAGCAACTGTGTGTGAAAAGTGGTCAATAAAGAGATGCTGAAAAGCATCTTAATGCAAACATCGTCAGGTCTGCTGTGATATGTTTACAATGGGACTTCTGCTCCTGAACCTCTGCGCACAGCGTCTGCAAATCGGGGCTGTACGAAGTCACTTTCATCTTTACGCAGGACTGTAAGCTTTCATCTGTGAGGCGTGAGCGGTTTTTGTTTTTAACATAGTTCACGGTAGAGAATAGCTGCTGACATAACATGGATCCGAAGGTCCATAATTGGCCTACCTGGGGTTGAAAGTCTCGATAAATGCCCGGCGTTTCGGCAGGTACACCGGCTTGCACGAGTGTGACGCTTATTTTGAGCAATGAAAAAATAAAAGAATATAATTGTATTTTTATATTTCAATATCACAATAATCTTCCAATTTAGAACTACAAGTTAAAAAAGAACTAACATAAATAATATACACTTCAGCTAAATACTTCTAATTTATTTTCCCAAACCACACGGAGCCGCACTATAAGGACTAAAGAGCCGCAGTTTGCCGACCCCTGGTCTATGGAGACTTCTGCCTGACTTAATCTGTCAGCCTGTCCATCACCTTTGCAAACAAGGATCCCACTCTCTTGGCATTCTATAATATGCTTACTCTTGATCCAGACACAGTCCAGCCCTTTCTGACATTCTCTATACTTCTCCATCAACACTCTTAAACAATCTGGCTAAACAATCCACTACTCTCTTTCCTAGATATCTTTTTACCTTCACAGATTTGTCATCTGAGTTAACTGCTGCATTTGAAAGAGTGTCCACTGTCCATCAGTGGTAGACGATATGGGGTTAGAATATTTTTAGCTGCCCCTCCGGAGGTTCGCCTTGGGCTCTCGCACTCTGGGGCCTCTGGATTTCTGGGGCCTGGATCTCCTCCATGCCTGCTTCATGTCTTGGGGGACAGGGCTATGGCTCTCTACATCCTCTAGCAGACCATTACATGGGGAAACCTTTTGAATACAAGCGCGCTGATCCACACAGGTGTGCACACGGGTGTCCACTGTTCATAGACATAAACTATACCTTTATTGGCTGCTATTTCCAAGCACATTGTGCGCTGTCGGTCCTGCTTGCTACACAACAACATTCAACATTTCGTATTTACTGCTGTTTACACTTAGCTAGATTAATGTGATGGTGTTGTGTTTAGTATGTTGCTCTGTTTTGTTTTGTTTTTTTTGGGTTTTTTTTGCTTGTTTTCTCTTCTTTTTCTCTCAACAGGTGATCCAGGAGATTTTTTTTTCTTTTTTTCTCTTCTTTCTCTTTTTAAGTGCCCTTTCTCACTGTCCCTCTTCCCTTCTGTTTTTCTTTTCCTTCATCTTTCTTTCTCCCTTTCCTATCCCTCAGTCATGTCCGTCCCATTTGTAACAACTGAAAATATAATAAAATAAATAATAACAACAAAGGTCGATCAAATGGACCAATACGGCAAGGCCATGATGGCCATGATTTGGCAAAGTAAATCCATTGGGTATCCTTGTTGGTCCTCAGACAACAATTCTGACGGCTAAAGAACCAAATGGGACAGGCGAAAATAAAAAAAATATATATATATATTCTTTAGCTAAGTCTCAACAACCCTAGCGGTTGTGTCCCATTTTGTCCTCATGACTTCCAGGCCATACTCGACACAGATGTTCCTGTATGTTATGCCAGCCACTTGGTTATGGCGTTTCATGTATGCCCTGTCTGATAGCATCTTGTACCCTGCTGTTATGTGCTGGATTGTCTCTGAGGCATCTTTGCACAGCCTGTACCTGGGGTCTTGCTTTGTGTGGCAGACCCTCTCTGACCCACCCTTTTTTTAAAAAAAAAACCAGTATGTTTATTGAGTTTTATATTACAGAACAAGAAAACAAGAAGAAAAGAATGATAGTACAGTTAACATTAGATTTATATTAAAGAACATAGTCCCCAAAATAAACAAATACAAATGAAAAGAAACAATAATAATAACAATAATAATACAATAATAACAATAATAATAACAATAATAACAATAATAATAAAATAAAACAAAACCCATGCACAGCATGGGTAAAACAAACAAAGGAAGATGCGAACGAAAAATAAAAACAGCAAAAACAAAGAAACAGACAAAAACAAAACAAACAAACAAACAAACAAACAAAAAACAACGACAAAACAACCCCCCCCCACACACACACAAAAAAAACCCAAACCCCCCCCAAAACAAACAAACAAACAAAACAAAAAACTCAGCACCAAGTATCATTTTCTAAATTAATTCCCTTCATAATGTCTCAGAAACTCAGTTAAAGGTAACCAGATTTCTTCAAAACCTACTCCCTTTCCTCTGACAATATAAGTAATACAATACAATACATGATGCCATCTCCTTCACCCACATATGATTTGAGGGTACATCCATTTTCTTGCAATACAAAGATATTAACCGCCTAGCTTGCAGGAGTCCAAAGTCAATTAACTCTAGCTGTCTGGTGCTAAAGTCACAATTCTTTGGGTATATACCCAACACACACATTTTTGCTTCAACAGGTATATTTACTCCAACAATCGATAAAGTTTGCGTGATTGATTTCCAGTACTGCTGTAATTTTGGACAGCTCCATACACAGTGAAACAGAGTGCCCTTCTCATCTAAACATTTACTGCAATCTGGGATGACAGGCGACCAGCGATTCAGTTTGACTGGGGTTCTGACCCACCCTTTAGTGTGGTCTCTATGACTCTTGTGCCAGGAGCTTGTTCTGTGCTGCTATGATTAGTGCCTCTGTGCTATGTTTCAGTCCAGCTATGTCCAGCCATTGGTAGGATTTCTTGATATCAGCCAATTCTTCTAACAAAGGTAGAAGGCAGGCGCCATCCTTCCATGGTGGTTCCTGTTCTTGTTCCTCAACTTTTTTTATTTGGGGTGGTCGGGGTTCAATCAATATATATTACATATATATTAGTGCCTGTATGGGTAGCAAGTGATAGCAAAGTGATCATTTATACAATGGTTCGGAAGGGAGTCATGCTCTTCTGTAATGCCAGGGCTAAAAGGAAGCAGATGAAGTCAGTTATTTTCCTGTTTTGGTTATAGCTCCTCCTTAATCACATGTGTCTACTCTGCAATCTTTTTCCTTTTTTTTGCTCTGCTGCCTGATTCTAAGAATTATAATTAAAATGCACAACATCTTGTACTTTATCCCTTATCTATAACTCCATACTTTTTAGCAAATTAAATATGAATATTAAACAATAAAAAGAGAGAAAGAAAGTACATAAATTAAGATTAAGCTTAAGTTGGGTTATGGTGTTAATATCATTTCTAAATGTGTCCTATAAATATATCTTTCGCTTGTGCCAAACACAAATCGCTTCCCTTTGCTGGATTTATTTTCAAATAAGCTGGTAAGCTGCTGGTAAGATGGCAAATATTAAGCCAACTCTATCTATCAACTCTTTTTATGCTCTGTAACAGAACACCAGTGACATTTCAAGACTTCTCCAAATTTAAATCCATTACTGGCTGTGATATTACATTAACAGGACACGCATGTGCTTAGTATAAGCTATGTGAACTTAATATTTGTTTCCCTTCAAGATTTATTTGAATAAATAATCTACAAACCATGCAATACAGTATTATAATTTGCTTTAGACATTTTGTGGGCATTACTGATCTCCTAAAAATACAATTTATATACTTTCAGTGAAATATTAACCAAATGACATTGGAATACTGATTTTTTTAAAAATAAGAAACATAATTATATTGATTGTAAAAATAGTTTTAATAAAATAAAGATTTGAGTTAATGCCATTTAAGTATAATGTAATTAATCTGCCATTATTATTACATAAAATTTGTTCTTTAATAAAATAAAGAAATAAAATGTATATACATTTATTATTGTACGTATTATTATTAAAATCCTTTGTAAAATGGTAATTTGATGTGTAGAAAATGACGCATGATAATTAGCTTATTTTTGACCATATCTATCAGCAAGGTGTCAGACAATCCTGACCAAACTTAGTGAGCTGCAAATGCTGAGGAAGCAGATCCGATGTGTATAAAAGCAGCAGCTCTGAGTGTTTGCTCTAACTGAAAGGCTTCTAAGGCAGGTGAGTAGAGTCAACATGTTCCTCTGCCATGTCTCTGCTGTGAGTTAATGGATTATATGTTTTAGTAATCAGTTACTTAAATTATTTTACTCACTGATACATTTTTGTAAACATTTTGTTTTTAAATATATTCTTAAACTTTTACAAAATCTACAAGTCAATATAAAAAGTGCATGAATCTACCTTTAACCTTATTTTATAGCGCCTTGACATACACAGGATCACAGGATACCAAGGAATTTCTGTTTGCATCAGCTGAGGTAAATTCCATAAAACCAAAACAATGGAGATTAATTGTGGGTTGCATAACAAACATATGATTTATGTGTCAATCCATCATATTTTCAGTCTCTAGTAAAGTGCCACCATGAGCACTGACGCGGAGATGGAGCAGTATGGCGCGGCGGCCATTTACCTCCGCAAGCCAGAGAGGGAGAGGATTGAAGCCCAGACTGCTCCATTTGATGCCAAGACGGCCTTCTTTGTGACTGTTCCTGATGAGATGTATGTCAAGGGCAAACTTACCAAGAAGGAGGGTGGTAAAGCCACTGTTGACACAGACGGAGGAAAGGTAGATGAATAATCTATGTACTTCATTCATGTGTTTAATATGCACTGTGTAATTGTAAAAGTTGAGGCTGATTTACATTTTCTATTCAGACGGTCACTGTAAAGGAGGATGAAATCTTCCCTAGAAACCCTCCAAAGTTTGATAAGATGGAGGACATGGCCATGATGACCCACCTTAATGAGCCATCTGTGTTGTTTAACCTCAAAGAGCGTTATGCATCATGGATGATCTACGTAAGTTTTCACTTTCCTATGTTTGCTGTGTGTAAAATGAAAATATCATGCTGATCTGTAAATGTTTAAATATTGTTTATTCTCTATGATACAGACCTACTCTGGGTTGTTCTGCGTTGTCGTCAATCCCTACAAGTGGCTTCCTGTATATGATGCTACATGTGTAGGAGCATATAGAGGGAAGAAGAGGATTGAAGCTCCACCTCACATCTTCTCCATCTCTGACAATGCCTATCAGTTCATGCTCACTGGTAAGATCAATTTACTGTTAATACGTTTTAATACAAATTATAGACATTACCTTAAATTTCAGTTTATTGAAGTTGTCATTAATCCTTGCAAATAAATAGTTTCTTAGCACTTAGATACTAATTAACCATATAATTATTAAAGAAATGATGAAAGCAGGATTCATGAAGCTTGTATGCTTTTATTTTAGATCGTGAGAACCAGTCTGTCCTGATTACGTGAGTATATTACAAATCTGTGTGTAAAATCTATACAAAACTTTAAGATACTGAAGCTGAAATTTAACAATGTGTCCCATAAACCCCAGCGGAGAATCTGGTGCAGGAAAGACTGTCAACACCAAACGTGTCATCCAGTACTTTGCAACAATTGCAGCTCTTGGTGGTAAGAAGGCTGAGCCAACGCCTGGCAAAATGCAGGTAGATTCTTTATTTAGTATCAAGCTACTTGCAACAGAAAAATAAAATAGAAACTTCAGCTCACATAAACATGATATATTCTTGCAGGGCTCCCTTGAGGACCAAATTGTTGCTGCCAACCCTCTGTTGGAGGCCTACGGTAATGCCAAGACTGTGAGGAATGACAACTCCTCTCGTTTTGTAAGTGATTAAGAGTGAGTTAAAGTAAGTCAGATATTTACTATTTGCTTTCAGAAAAGATCATGCTAATAAAGATTTTCCACTCTAGGGTAAATTCATCAGGATTCACTTCGGTACTACTGGCAAGCTGGCTTCAGCTGATATTGAAACATGTAAGTTTGAACCAGTCTAAATTGTACTTATCTGTGCTAGAAATGTTCCTTAACTACTCAATTCAATTTATTTTATATTTATATATTTAGTTCAATGCAGTACATCAAAAAAAAAAAAAGACTGGGGTACATAATTAGTAAATTATGTAATAAGTAAAGTAACAGAATTGAAATCACTCCCATGACTATCTTTTGATAGACAATGAAAACGGTAGGCTTGACATGAAATGTTAGTCTGTCATGCCTCATGTCTACATGACATGTCTACACTCTCCAACTGAATTTGTTGTTCTTAGATCTGCTGGAAAAATCCCGTGTCACCTTTCAGTTGTCTGCTGAGAGAAGCTACCATATCTTCTATCAGCTGATGACTGGCCACAAGCCTGAGCTCCTGGGTATGACAACTTTAATTATTTAAACTTTCAACTAACTTTGATTGAATTTAATTCAGCTATATATGGACAGTTCATATAACAACAACAATATTTTTAAATGTTGTATACCAGTATATAATGACTATTAATTGTACTATTAAAATATAGTGTATTAATTATAATTAATATATCAATATTAACTAATTAATTATTTAATTATAGTATTAAAATACAAGTTAATTTTTGCACAATATCAGATATTATATGGTAATGTATAAACCCTGTAGTATTAAAGAGAAAACGCCAACCGATGATGAGAATTGCCTATGAGCCGACACTTGGCAACGGTGGAATAGAAGAATTGCATTTTAACAAGAAAACCAAAACTCTCCAAACCCAGGCTCAGAGAGGGGTACACAACTAGGGGATTTACTCTGACCTGATCCATTCTTAACCATAAGCTAATTTAAAGATGAATTTTTAAGCATAATCTTCAAAGTAACAAACATGTCTTTCTCCTGAATATAAAGGCTGAAGGCTTTGGTTCCAATTTCATGTTTGAAAAGATTCCAACAATATAATAAGAAAACTGAAATAACTTTTCGGTATTGCATTTTACAGAGGCTCTTCTGATCACAACCAACCCATATGACTACCCAATGGTCAGTCAGGGTGAAATCACAGTGAAGAGCATCAATGATGTGGAGGAGTTCATTGCAACAGATGTAAAATTGCATTTGTCTTTGGATTTGTATACTTAACTATAAATAAAGTGTTTTTAAAAATAAATAAATAAAAAATTGTTGCTTTCATTCTTGTGTCGTACAGACTGCTATTGACATCTTGGGCTTTACTGCTGAAGAGAAGTTAAGCATCTACAAGCTGACTGGTGCTGTGATGCATCATGGCAACATGAAATTTAAGCAAAAGCAGCGTGAGGAGCAGGCTGAACCTGATGGCACTGAGGGTAATTGACAAAATAATATGATTTTTATTGTGAAAATTTTGTATAATGAACAAATAACTGAAGTGTATCTATTGGGTATGATATATTGTTTAATCCAACAGTGGCTGACAAGATTGCGTACCTACTGGGCCTGAACTCGGCTGATATGCTGAAAGCTTTGTGCTACCCAAGAGTCAAGGTTGGCAATGAGATGGTGACCAAAGGTCAGACTGTCCCACAGGTAATTAAAAAAAATAGGGGGGGGGGCTCGTATTATCATATTATAATTATAAACATTATAGCTGCATTCATATGGTTTTGAATAATTATAAATTCTTGTTTGCCAGGTCAACAATGCTGTCTCGGCTCTGTGCAAATCTATCTATGAGAAAATGTTCTTGTGGATGGTTATCCGTATCAATGAGATGCTGGACACAAAGCAGCCCAGACAGTTCTTCATTGGAGTGCTGGATATCGCTGGATTTGAGATCTTTGATGTGAGCACTTGAGACATTTCACCACATTTGCTAAATGTTCAATACTGTATTGCCATGAAATTAAAAATGTTTGTAATGTT